CGGGAAGGTAAATGGCATTTCCGTGCACTGCTCTGGTTTCACCAGAAGTGGCTTAGTCATGCTGGCCACATGACCAGGAAAAACTGCCTGCGGACAAACGCCGGCTCCCTCGGTCAGTAAAGCGAGATGAGCGCCGCAACCCCAGAGTCGTTCGCGACTGGACTTAACTGTCAGGGGTCCTTTATCTTTTAAATATGTATACACAGTCCAGATGCATGCTCCTTTGCCTTTCTAGATCAGTTCTGAGAATACACGAAACTAGAGCCTAGACACATTTAAAAGTAGTTCTATATTTCTAAGCAAGTGTACACTGAACTGTAAGGCTCATCTTTTGCTATTTCTGATGGTTAAAGGAGCAATTCTAACTATGGGAAGCCAGCTTAATGACCCTGTCTTAATTTAAGTCAGCCTAAGGTAAGCCAGAGGGACGCGGGTGGCACTGTGGGTTAAACCACAGAGCCCAGGACTTGCCAATCAGAAGTTTGGTGGTTCGAATCCCCGCGATGGGGTGAGCTACTGTTCTTCGGTCCCAGCTCCTGCCAACCTAGCAGTTCGAAAGCACGTCAAAGTGCAAGTAGATAAATAGGTACCACTCCGGCGGGAAGGTAAACGGCGTTTCTGTGCACTGCTCTGGTTTGCCAGAAGTGGCTTAGTCATGCTGGCCACATGACCCAGAAGCTGTACACCGGCTCCCTCGGCCAATAAAGCGAGATGAGCGCTGCAACCCCAGAGTCGGCCACAACTGGACCTAATGGTCAGGGGTCCCTTTACCTTTAAGGTAAGCCAGATCCAAACCCCCTTCGGGAGCAAGGCTACTGCCAACCGAGAGAGCCCAACCCCGTTTTGAGGGAAGCCTTAAAATACAGTGGTACCTCGGGTTACATACGCTTCAGGTTACATACGCTTCAGGTTACAGACTCCGCTAACCCAGAAATAGTACTTTGGGTTAAGAACTTTGCTTCAGGATGAGAACAGAAATCGTGCTCCGGCGGTGCGGTGGCAGCAGGAGGCTCCATTATCTAAAGTGGTACCTCAGGTTAAGAACAGTTTCAGGTTAAGAATGGACCTCCGGAACGAATTAAGTACTTAACCCGAGGTACCACTGTAATAGCCTTAAACAAGCCGTAAATTAAGAGTGTGACTTACAGAGCCGCTTTTTTTGCTGGCCTAAGTTCTGCTGGGCTGCTAGGCCACATGATTGAGATGAACAGAGTTAGGGTCCCTATGAAGTCTCTTCCCTGCCTGTCCCTGTCCCCAACATGCTTTCCTAGGGACTTAACACCAGGCTCGATCCAGTCAGCTTTGGGTCGGCTGGCTGAGCGCCGTCCGAGCCAAGACGAGCATTTTGCACCAGTGCATCTCCAGCTAAGCTAGGGATAGGGACTTAAACTACTGCAGCCTCAGCTGACTGAGCCAGAGATCTACTGCAGCCTAACTCACTGGTGGATCTTCGGTTAAGGTTGCGCCCTGGAGAGCCAGTGTGGTGTAGTGGTTAAGAGCGGTGGACTTGTAATCTGGTGAACCGGGTTTGTGTCTCCGCTCCTCCACATGCAGCTGCTGGGTGACCTTGGGCCAGTCACACTTCTTTGAAGTCTCTCAGCCTCACTCAACTCGCAGAGTGTTTGTTGTGGGGGAGGAAGGGAAAGGAGAATGTTAGCCGCTTTGAGACTCCTTAAAGGGAGTGAAAGGCGGGATATCAAATCCAAACTCTTCTTCTTCTTCTTCTTCTTCTTCTTCTTCTTCTTCTTCTTCTTCTTCTTCTTCCCTAAATCCCCAATCAGACTAGGACGTAGGAGACCAGGGTTCAAATCCTCAGTCAGCCATGAATCTCCCTGAATGACCTTGGGCCAGTTGCCCTCTCTCAGCCTAACCTACAACACACAGTTGCTGTGAGGATGAAATGTTACCCACTGAACTATTTGGAGGAAATAAATGTGGGATATGGAAGTGAGAGCTGGACCATAAAGAAGGCTGATCGCCGAAGAATCGATGCTTTTGAATTATAGTGCTGGAGGAGACTCTTGAGAGTCCCATGGACTGCAAGAAGATCAAACGTATCCCTTCTGAAGGAAATCAGCCCTGAGTGCTCACTGGAAGGACAGATCCTGAAGCTGAGGCTCCAATACTTTGGCCACCTCATGAGAAGAGAAGACTCCCTGGAAAAGACCCTGATGTTGGGAAGATGGAGGGCACAAGGAGAAGGGGACGACAGAGGACGAGATGGTTGGACAGTGTTCTCGAAGCTACCAGCATGAGTTTGACCAAACTGCGGGAGGCAGTGGAAGACAGGAGTGCCTGGCGTGCTCTAGTCCATGGGGTCACGAAGAGTCGGACACGACTAAATGACCAAACAACAACAAATGTGGGATATAATTGTAACACTAAAGTAAACAAACTGACTTCAAAAGGAATTTATCCGCTCGCAATATTTATATTGATTTAATTTCTTCAAGAAAAATCACACTGCTGTTTGTCTTTTTATGGCACCATGACTTACTTGTGGAATCCTGAGGGCTAGAATTCAGGTTGTGGGAAACCAGTATTGTGAGAAATGGAGAGGGAAGAGGCATGTTTGTCTCGAGTATTAATTTGCCCACATCGTTATGAAATACGCTGAACGGATGGCATTTAACAAATATTAATATTGCATGAGAATGATGTTGGTTGGATAAGCGTGATTTACACTTCTAACAGCCAGAGTAATACCAATAACTGAATGCAGTCAAGTAAATGAGATTACTGAAATGAATTATTTAACAAATCCTGGCTGGAAATAATCACCAAGGGTGCTTTATATTTTTTGACAGCGAGGCAATTCATGCTGGAGTGAGAGTGTACAGCTTATACAGTGGTACCTCAGGTTAAGTACTTAATTCGTTCCGGAGGTCCGTACTTAACCTGAAACAGTTCTTAACCTGAAGCACCACTTTAGCTAATGGGGCCTCCTGCTGCCACTGGAGCCCGATTTCTGTTCTCATCCTGAAGCAAAGTTCTTAACCCGACATACTATTTCTGGGTTAGCGGAGTCTGTAACTTGAAGCGTATGTAACCTGAAGTGTATGTAACCTGAGGTACCACTGTATACAAAAATACTTGTCTGTTTCTAGTTTTTAAAAAATACATGGAAATAACTTCACATACTAGAGGTGTCTTGGGAGATTTAAGAAAGAGAATGGGGATCATTCTTCCTGGAAGGAAGGGAAACTGAGGATGCAGTGCTTTTCACATTTATTTGGGAGTGAGTTCCATTTAACACTGCTTTGAGGGGTTTTTTCTACAACCAAGCAGTATATAACTTTTATCAAATAAATAAATAAATAAATAAATAAATAAATAAATAAATAAATAAATACAGAGCCACCTACATCTGAGTACACGTGGTTAGGCTCTCCTGAAATCCTAAACCTACTTGACAAGTAGCAAGTTCCTTTGAACTCAGCAGGGTTTATTTGCAAGTAAATATAATGTAAATCAGGCTACACAGCTCCTATGCGGCATTCACAGAATGGTCATCTTACCCTTTCTTCAGCTATGATCCTAATAAGCTTTACTTGGAAGTAAACATTTCTGAAATGAGCCTCCTTTCCAAGATTACTAGGATCATGCGGGGCCAGGTACTAGTATAGGGCAAGTCAATGATTGCTGAGATGAAGAACGATTTAATGATCTGCAATGGGGTTAGACCTGGGCAATCAGCTGTCCTTAAGGTTTCCTTTTTTCTTAAAATACTTGCCAAGTCTGGTTGGGACTTACACCTGAGTAAACGTATTTTGACTCAGGAGCCACGGTGTTTTAATTTTATCAGCATTCTATAGATGCTCAACGAATGCCAGATCAGCACTTAAACATTAGTACCATTTCATCACAGTGGCAAAGATTTGCTCACTGCCAGCTTTCCATTATTGCAACAGGGCTGAAGAAACCTCCATCCACCCCACAAAGAACAAATCTGCATCTGTTTCCAGGGAGATATTCATTCTTTTGGAAAGGGCTCTCCTCGAGGAAAACACCTATCCACCTTCATCATGTGATATTCGAGGTGTGTGTGTGTGTGTGTGTGTGTGTGTGTGTGTACTAGGTATTATTAAGCTCAGCTGGGGGTTTGGCAAAGAGCTTAGAAGAGATAGACTGCAATCCTGCCCAAATGATAGCAGGGGTCCTTTATAAGTCCCGGAACCAATCCCAGCTAGGTTACCTTTCTAGGATGCTCATAATACAACGTTACATTTCTCCCATGGTGGCTGAACATTTGTTTAGCATCTCTCTCTCTCTCTCTCTCTCTCTCTCTCTCTCTCTCTCTCTCTCTCTCTCTCTCTCTGTGTGTGTGTGTGTAGAGCCGTAGCGGGGGGGGGGGGGTAGCCAGGTTTATTTTTGCCCTGTGTGAAACCTCCAGAGGGAAACCATTGATGCTCCCAATCTGTGTGTACGCAAATGCGCATGGGGGGGGTGTGTGTGTGCCAAGCTGGGTCTTTGACCAGGGTGAAATAATGCCATGTTTCGCCCCGTGTGTGTGTGTGTATCTGTCTATCTATCTTTCTATCTATCTATCATCTATCTATCTATCTATCTATCTATCTATCTATCTATCTATCTATCTATCATCTATCTATCATCTGTCTATCTATCTATCTATCTATCTATCTATCTATCATCTATCCACCTAATCTTCTTTGTTCACATACATATACGTCTCTCTGTGTGTATTCACATATACATCTTCAATGTTAAGCAAGTGGAACTATTTCTTGTCGTATTTTCTATTTTCCTGTGTACAACCCCACCTTAAGGAAGACTACTGCACACGGCTGGAAGGAGGCAGACTTGACCCAGAGCAGCCGCCAAGGATTCCCTCCAAAGGGAAGGGCTGCCTCCCCCCCCCCCGAATGATGAAAGAGGTTTCCACGCGCCCCCGCGACGCTCCAGCTTCCTTCGCCTGCCTGCCTGCCTGCCTCCCTCCCTCCTTCCTTCCCCCTCTTCTTCCCTTGCCCGCCAACACTCACCCAGCACCACGGCGAGGATGGTGGCCAGGAGGAGCCAGTTGTTCTTCAGGAAGCGCCTGCAGTTGAAGCCCCTTTTCCGGGCGAGCTCCTTCGCCATGGTGGCTCGTGGTGATGGTGGTGGGAGAAAAGACGCACGGGAAGGAGAAGGGAGAGGCCGGAGGGATGCGCGCCGCGCCGCGAGAGACGAGAGACACGCGCGCAAGAGACGGAGGCAGAGAGAGGAGCCGGCAGGTCTTTCCCTCAACGGCAGAACGGCTCTCGCTCGCTCGCGTTCGGCCGGCTGCTGGTTTCGCTGGAACGCGCGCGCGTATGGATAGAGAGAGGACGGGGACGGTGCGCCTTCGTCACGCTGCGGGGTCTCTCGCGTCTCCTCCTCCTCCTCTCGCCGCCGCTGGTGCTGGTGCTGCTACTGGCGGAGTCTGCCTGGCTCTGCGGCTCCGAGATAGCCAGGCAGAGAGGAGGAGGAGAAGGAGGAGGAGGAGAGGTGTGGTGGTGGCAGCGGCGGTGCCTCTGCGCGTGTGTGGCTGGAGAGCAGGGCGCGCTCTGTCTCTGTCAGGCGCATCCAAAACACTTGGCACAAGACGCTGCGCGCACGGAGCCCTTTCTCTCTCTCTGAGTCACTTTGCATAACCACACGGCCCTGGGGGGGGGCACCTTAGGGTGCCCTCCCTCAGCGAGCGGCGCTTGCGCTTCCTCCTCGTGCCCACAGGTGCCAACTTCCTGTGCTCCCCGGGGTGCCCGAGCAGCACCCACAAAAATGCTCCATGAAAGGGCCGCCGGGTACAGGGTGGCGGGGCCAAGCTGGCCCTCCTGCCCACAGGGCTGTGGCTCAAGAGCCGGGGGCTCGGGGGTGGGGTGGGGGGTGGGGGCTTCGGCGCCCTTTCGTGAGGCGCTCGGGCGACCCGCGTGGGGCGCGGAAAGGCGCGGCTGCTGCCCTGCGCTAAGCGCGCTTTGAAGATAGAGATGTGGATATACAGTAGATCTAAAAAAACTCAAATAACTCATTTCACACCAATTAACAGCGGCGAGAGCAAATGTGACAAGATTCTGAAGGACATTTATATTTAGGCAAATTACTGGTATTCAAAAAGTCTGGCCCTTCTAGAATTGCTTTTCTAGAAAATGTTTCCAACAAGTTGAAAGTAGCTAGGGGGCACGCTGCAAGAGATTGATTTTTCGCAAAGTGGCATGATTTTATGTTATTTACAAATGATGAAGCCCTGGCCGTATGGTCACTCTTGTTTATTCCAAGTTCTGGATTTTGTGAAAGTGTACAACTCCTAACTTATTTTCAAAGCTAAGGAGGGTCTGGTGTGGTTTAAAATTGGATGGGGACTGCGTGTTGATAACCCTACATTGCAGATGACACTTGGGTCCCTTTAACCTCTACAATTCAATGATTCTGAGTCTATGTTTAGGCAGACCTATGTTCTTTATATTTCTGCTGAATTACTAGTAATTTTGGAGCAAGGGAAACAATGGTGTTAACTCTTCATTCCTTCCTTCATTTTTTATTCTTTTTTTCATTTTGCAAGTCTGTATGAGAATTCCTAAGATTAAGGAAGTGCCCACTTGCATGGAAAATATTGTTTGTCTTCTCCTGCTGGATTTTATGTTATATATGATTCGGTTCTTTTTGTTACTTTTGTTTGTATGCAAAAATTCCCTCTCTTGTTATGATTTACAAATTTCAATTTTAAAAAGGCGAATGAGCCAAGAACTAGCAGCAATGTACAAAATGCTTACCTGCTTTGTATCACATCCCCCTCGCCACAGAAACAAGGAAGAAAACAGAAAAACAAATGAAGAAAAATAACGGCATACACTTTTCCAACTTGTGAAGCAAACAATTTGGCGGTGAACAAAGACACAGATGGATAAACATTATGCTTGTGTAATTAGAGACTATTTATTTCATTTCATTTCTAATCAACCTTTCAATTGGCTATATTAGAAACGGGCAAAACACAAGAAATAAAAACAACGCAAAGCAAAATATAAACATTTTGGGTTAGTTATCAGCTCCCTCATATGGTTTAATTTGAATGACGTCAAACTGATTTTTTATTTTATTTTTTGTATTAAAGGTTGACAGATATTGGCTCCCATCCTGGATGAAGATTCAGTTTGGTAGTTTTTGTACGGGTAACCAAACACAAATCTGTAATAAAAATGTCTCAATAAAATGAAAAAGAATTAAAGGTACCCTGGGCTGATGGATCACTCCTAGAACTGCTGAAGTTATTTAAAAGATGAACACAATAATGGAAAATGATGGTAAGAGATTCTATTTTGGAAAGGTTTGCAACTATCTATATCATGTCCACAATGAACCTACTTGGTCAGCAAACAAAAAGCAATATTTTATTATTTGGTGGTTTTTTCCTTTAAATCCCTTTTTGATCTTTGTACTTATTCTGCAAGAGTTCACTTCCAACGCAACATTTTCCTTGAGCACAGGCCCTGAGGAATTAATTCCCAAAAGAATACACATGAAAAAAAGCATTACATTGGAATTACCACTGTCAGGGGGAAAAAAAATCTCTGACCAGCAGGGAGAATAGTACAGTATTCTGCTCTCAGGATTTTCAAAATGATAAGATCACTTGATAACCTGAGATGTAGTGCTTGACCTGTGACCTTTCTCTCTGCCCCCCCCAGCCTTGGCACTGCCAACTGAGCTACACCAGAGCTAATGTGACTGAGTGAAGGAACTCTGGTTTTTCTGACGGGCAGTCCAAGATACATAATCCAGTTTGGGTGCCCATGTACACACTGCAGTCCTGGGAGTGGGGTACTGCCTAACCAAGAGCTAGGCAGTCCTAGGTCAGTCTGTGTCCCTTCCCTCTTGCCTTGCAGGAGTTTCTTGGAATCCAGCCTGGCCCTGTTCTGTTCTGCTACTGTCCTTTAGATGCTGTTATAGGCGCTCAGGAAATCAGCCCTGAGTGCTCACTGGAAGGACGGATCCTGAAGCTGAGGCTCCAAGACTTTGGCCACCACATGAGAAGAGAAGACTCCCTGGAAAAGACCCTGATGTTGGGAAAGATGGAGGGCACAAGGAGAAGGGGGCGACAGAGGATGAGATGGTTGGACAGTGTTCTCGAAGCTACCAGCATGAGTTTGACCAGTGGAAGACAGGAGTGCCTGGCATGCTCTTGTCCATGGGGTCACAAAGAGTTGGACATGACTAAATGACTAAACAACAACATAGGCACTCAGCTCCATGCTGTTGAGTTGACCCTTGGCTCTGCAGGCTAGTTTGGGGGGTTTGTTGAAAGCCCTGATGTTGTCACAACCTCTCTCCCGCCTGTTGTCTTGCAACTTCTTGTTCACAACTCAACCCTCAAAACTGTACCCTGCCCATCTGGCTGGATTGCCCCAGCCCCTCTGGGCAGCATCCAAAAAAATATAAACACATGACAAAACATCAAACTTTAGACACTTTGCTGTACATCTAAAAGTTAGATAGTTGTTAGTTTCTTTGACATCTGACAGAAGGGCATTTCACAGGGTGGGTGCTGCTGTGGAGAAGGCCCACTGCCTGGTTCCTTGTAACTTCACTTCTTGCAGTGAGGGAACTGCCAGAAGGCCCTCGAAGCTAAGGTTTCCAGATTTTTTTCAATGTATCCGGGGACACACTTCAACTTCAATGGATTTTGTATGGGGACTGATTTGTAAATCCGGGGACTGTCCTTGGGAAATGGGGATGTCTGTTAACCTTACTCAAAGCTGGATCTCAGTGTCCGGGCTGGACAATGGGGGTGGAGGCACTGCTTCAGGTATACAGGGCCGAGATCTAATTTTTATGAAGGTATAATGTAATAATAAAAAACCACATGTCATTGAGATACACTAGAAGTGCCATGCAGTGCCACATATGACAAAGTAATTTATCTCAGATATTTTCAGATGTATTTTCAGACGTAGCATAGCTATTGAAACTTTTTTTGCACCGACTTGGCCAGTGACACACCTAGGGTTGCCATATTTTGAAGAGCAAAACAGAGGACACATTGGTTGACTTCTACTTTTAACTATGGATCGCTATGGCGACTCTCATTTTACATACCCAGGAAAAAGAGGACGTGTCCCAGAAAAAGAGGACGTATGGCAACAGTAGACAATGTTCTTTACTTTCACTCCTCCTTGCTTTCTAGGTGACCTTTGAGCAGATCCAGAATCTACCCTGGTTGGTTGTACCCCTGCCCGTACGGGCCAGTCTTGCCAGACTCTAGGGTTGTGCGCTCATCTCACTCTATAGGCCGGGAGCCAGCGCTGTCCGCAGACACTTCCGGGTCACGTGGCCAGCGTGACAAGCTGCATCTGGCGAGCCAGCACAGCACACGGAACGCCGTTTACCTTCCTGCTGGTAAGCGGTCCCTATTTATCTACTTGCACCCGAAGGTGCTTTCGAACTGCTAGGTTGGCAGGCGCTGGGACCGAATGACGGGAGCGCACCCCGCTGCGGGGATTCGAACCGCCGACCTTTTGATCGGCAAGTCCTAGGCACTGAGGCTTTAACCCATAGCACCACCCGTGTGTATAAATTCTTGTGTAGATTGTTCCTCAGGTAAGCTTGATGCAGGGGTGGGCTTTGGTAATATGGTGCCCTGAGAGAGGACAAAATTTGGCACCCTCCTCTAATGTTTCTTAATTCCACATAATTCATTTTTGTACTGTTGCTTTTTTATGGATCTTCTCAATACTCACTGAAACATCACATTATTGCAAAAACAGAAGTTGTTGTTGTTTTGTGTCCCTTTGGCTTGGTGCCCTGTGCAGGGCAACTGTTGGGAAACTGTGTATGTGCAGCTACTCACACAGAGTCAAGGTTTGGCAGACAGCCAGAAGGCAATCTGAAGGAGTAAGTCTGCCTGGTGATAACAGAGGCATGGAGACCGCTTCCTGATTGGTCAAGCTCTCTCAAGGGAGTGATAATTAATGGCCTACTAACTGGTAGTTCGGAGCTCAGTGTTCAGAGTTTGTGAGTTCAGAGGTCTGCGTCAGTGTAGGAGTTGTGAGTTGTGTCAGAGAGAGCTAGCTAAAATTCCGTGTTCTGTTCCTGTAAATAGTCCACTGTATATAATAAACACCTAACTACAAGTTCCTGGTCCCTTCTTCGTCTATCCTGTCTGCAGCCAAGTTGCCAATTGCTTCCGTGGATTCTGCGTTTACTCTGCTAGGTCTCGATAAGGTCCTGCAACTAGTTGGAAAGTTGCGAAACACCAAATAGGTTTTACCAATATGGCTGTAGTGCCCTATATCTGGTGTTGCTTGATATCTGATGGGTTCCCACACTTCATCTAGGATAAGTTTGAACTTGTTGTCCAGGAGGCCTCTGGTGCCATTGTTTTTGTATTATAGAATCTAATATAAGATATGAAAAATCTGATAGGACTGCAGCAATTATCCAATAGTAAAGATTGCAAAACATAGCATTTTAATTACAAAAGTGCAACAGAGGATTAGTAAAACAAACTTTTCTTCGTAGCGGAAGGTAAACAG